TCAGACAGGTAGGGGGAAGAGGGGTTGGAGGTGGCAGGATGTAGAGATATTTTAGAAGACAGAAGACTTGGCAACCTATAGAAATGAATCAGAGTCCAGGATGCTCCGGTGCCCAGTTAGCATTGCCAATAGACAAAAGGTGCTAGAATAGTTCCTTATGACCTTATATGAGACTTTTTAATTGTTGTAATTACAGTACTTGATGGTTTAAATCTCAGAAATAAAAATAATCACTGTGACTATCAAGAGAGCCACAAATGGTAGATTCTACTCTGTGATCTTAACAAATAAGCATTTAGCCCTCATTGAGCAGCAGGGAAACACTCCTGGCAACTTGTGACAACTCAGGAGGTCTGGGATTCTCTGCGGAGCCACATGAACAATCCTAGACAGAGCCTTCCCCTACATTCAGTACTCAAGAAGAGATCTAACCCGATTGGATATCGCCTTCCAAAACCCTCATGAGCACAAGGGAACCTGATTATACAACATAGTGGAGATTAGGTGAGATGTTGACTGGTTTCCTGGCTTCTCCCTCTTATCTAGAAGCCTCACACTCTGAGGCTCCAGCGGGAGTACAGGACTGCACAGAGAACTGGAGAAGCAGACACAGGAGTTCTATCTTTGGTGGCTCTCCCACACCCCACACAGAACGCAGACCCCTTTGTGGGCCCAGTGCTCTCACACGCAGGCAGGGCATCTCACCGCTCACATCATTCCTGAGAACTAGTGTCCTCACCCACAAGGCCATGCCAGCCATGATTAAATGGGGTGCCTGGACTCCTGCCAACGCTTTAGTAGGCCAAAGGTGGAGCCAGGAAGAACTGTTTTCTCAAGGACCCCCTCCTCCAATGTGAGTTTACAATGGGCCCTGGGAAAATGACAGCTGGTGGAAATACAAGTGATTTATTCAGCAGTAAAAACTGTGCCCAGAGGCACAGGCTATTGCTTTGTAGGATATCAGCCAGTTTTATATCTAAACTTGTACTCTAACCCAGCACTGTTTTTCTATGACTACATAAACCAGTCGTGCAAATTTGTTTTTACCAGAGATTCTGCTAGTTCCCTAGTTAATGGCTGATATAAATCCTTGACACATGCTCCTTTTTTATTTCTCAATATAGACTGATAGCTAATGTCCCACACCCCCAGTTTTCACTTGTGTTATAGTTCACTTGCATTTCTGTGATATATTGTCTCACAATCCACATTGCTGTCCAGCAGGGGACTTTTAAAAAACATTGATATTTCTGGGATATTTCCTGGCTCTGCATTTTCTGACAAGCACATTTCATGGCCTCCTGGGTCCTCCTCTGGCCTGGCAGAGGGTCAGGGTCTTGACTCAGGTCAGCTTACCAACCACCCCGGGGTAATATGTGAGGAAGGTTTTACAATACCCACTGCCTGTCCTCTCTGGCCTTCAGTCTTGCCCCCACCCACACTATGACCCAGACTGACTGACCCAGCACCAGCAGCAATGGGCGACCAGGACGAAGACTCAGTCAATGGGACTGAGACGCTGGGCGCTGAGTTGAACCAAGACTGACCACTTGCCCATCTGTGGTCTTTGCACAAGTCACCTCACGAGTCTTTCTGGACCTCAGTTTCCGCATTAAACAAATGGGGCTGACCGTCTTCCCTACAGGGTTGCTCAAAGAACCACAGCCGGGAACATCACAGGGAGCCCCAAGTGTCCACCTCAGTAAACACCCACGGTCCCAGGCTTCTTGGACACGCGCCTTGACACCGGTTTAGTGATAGTTTCGGTTCTGGTTCTCCTGGAACGGGCGAGGGGAGAGCCCAAAGGCTCCACCAAGACATAAGAATTCAAAAATATCCACAGATGGGCCCCCTGATGGCACAAGGGTTAAATACCGCACTATGGGCAATCTAAGACCTCGGCAGCATGAGTTCGATCCCTGGCCGGCGTCGGAGCAACCCACGTGGCGAGCAGACCTCTCCTGTCTCCCCACTGCTCCCCTCAGCAGTGTGTTTCAGTAGATCTGCCTGTTCTGCTCCCCACTCTGTCTCTGGTGAATCCCCTCACCCTCCCGCGCATCTGGCCTGTACCCGGTTCTTGTATAAATAAAAATACATCTTTAAAAAAAAAATATATATATATATATGTATCTCCACAGATGGCGACTGACGGGGAAAGATGGGCTGCAAACACCTGAGGCACCTGCGGCAGATGTTGACCACACCCTCCACAGCTGGCCCTCTCGCCTGGAACGCCCGGGCTGGGCCTCCGGAGCTGGAGGTTGGGTCTCGGGAGCACCGCGGGCGGGACCCCGCTCAGGGCGCCCGGAGCCCGGCAGCCCCGGGTGCGAGGAATTCCGGCGTCCGAGACGCGCCGCCGCCTTCCCGCCGCTCGGGAGGCGCCCGCAGCGCCGCGGGGCCCAGTCAGCGTCGCAGCTGCCAGACACGGGGTGCGCCCTGCGGCCGCCAGAGGCCACGCGCCCCGCCCGCCGCGCCGCGCCCCTTGTCCTCTCTGACCTATGGTCCCCAGGCCACGGCCCGGGCCCGCCCCGTTCCGTTTCGGCCTATGGCGTCCCCGCTCCCCCGCCTCTCGCCCCCTCCGCGGCCGACCCCACCCTCCGGGGCACGTAGGGCCCGAGGCCCCGCCCACGCGCCGAGACGCTATGGCTGGCGCGGCGGGGGCGGCTGGCGCGGCGCTGGAGTTGGGGCGCGTTGCGCAGGTGAGCGCGGGCCCGGGGTCCAAGGTCGCCCGCGGGGCGCCGCCGTCCCGGCCGTCTTCCCGCCATGTCGTCCCCGCCGGCCGCGGACTCTCCTCTCAGGGGCCCCGCGGGGGGCGGCGCCCGGTGTCCTTCGCTGAGGGGCGCCTCCTCGGCCCGGCCTCCGCGGCCGCCCCCGCGGCGCGCGCGGCGTTCGCGAACGGAGCCCGAGCGTTCGGGCCCTTTGGCGCCGGGTGGGTTCGCTTGTGCGCTTCTTGGGGAAGGCATCAGTTATGGAGTGTTAGATGAAGGGGTCCAAAGTCTGAAGCCCCAAACGAGACTGTGCGCTGGGAACGAGCAGCCCCGGGACGTGGTGGCGACTTTCCGGGTGTTGTGTGTCTAGCGGTCGTGCTGTGTCATATAAAAACTAAGTTTTTTATATGTTTGCACCAGGTTTTGTGGGACCCGGCACTTTAAGGCATTAACGTTTTTCCTTTTGTTTTCTGCTTGGGACTGGCCAAGGGCGAAATTCACGTAAGAGGCAGATTTTCCACTGGATAATTTAATCGAAAAGTTTTTGAAAGACTGAAAATTGTCGAATTACACACTGGTCATTTCAAGATTGCTGTAGCGTTCATCATGCTCTGAAATTTGCCTGAGTGCAGTAGCGGTGATATATTTATTAGATTTAGGCTTTATTTCTAACTATTTCAATCTCGGATGCCTTTAAACGTTATGATTCAGGGTCGTCGTCGTGAACACTCATTTTTTCCTTGTGGCTTCAGTTGAACTTTCCCTGCCCCCTCTGCTTACTGTGTGTGCTTAAAAACTTAGCTGGACCTTGTTTCTGCTCTGTTGCTGCCTGGCTGGTTTAACATCCTGTGGGAGCAGGGGCTATTCTGCTCAGCCCAACTTCAAGGCGTCCACAGCAGGTACATTTCCCGGTCCTGCCCTCACCCCCCAGCACCCCCCCCCCCGCTCCCGGCCCCCATTGGTCCCAATCCCAAGAAAGAAGGGGTTCTCTGTCTGTAAGCCCTGCAACTGCTCACCTGTCCTTTTGAGCACTTCCTGTATCTTCACCCCTTCTCCCACCTGTGTGGAATGTTGGGGCACACGTTTTGCTGAGTAGAGAGCATAGAATTGACTGTTAAGAATTTATACTTGGATCAATTTGCAGCAACATGGATGGCACTGGAAGGGATCATGCTCAGCGAAATAAGCCAAAAGAAAAAGAAAAATACCGGATGGTCTCACTCATAGCAGGAATCTAGAAAACTTAAGGGACAGGAAAATGAATATAAGAAAGTGAAAATCAAAATCAACAAAAAACTATGAACCAGAGACACTTTTTGGGGGGTGGGGGGCGGGAGGGGAAGGATTGGGGTCAGAGGCGTTTGCAATTGTATGGGGGAATATAAAAATAAAATTTAATATTTAAAAAAAAAAAAAAAAAAAGAATTTATACTTGGGGTTAAGCAACACACTAGGAAGCAATGTGCAGCCTCTGCAGCATGAGTTCCATCCCTGGCAGGCCAGGGAACTACCCACATGGCACAGCAGACTTCTCCTGTCTTACCTGCTGCTCCCTCACCAGTGTTTTCTGCCGATCTGGCTGTTCTGCTCCCCACTCTGTCTCTGGTGAATCCTCTCACCCCCCGCATCTCTGGCCTGTATCCCAGCTCTTGTATGCATAATAAATAAATCTTAAAAAAAAAAAAACTTAAAAAAAAAGAATTTATACTTTGTTAATAGGTGAATGCTAAGGCTGTTCTGGACCTTGAGGCACAATTGACTTAAATTCTTTCTGTGCATTTCACTCCCTTAGTCTCTATCTCATGCATATTTCTAACTGTGCTTTTCAAGCAGATAGAAGAATTTTGCTTCTGGCAAAATTTGCACCTGCTTTTATCTGTATTAGAGTTGCTCCAAATACCATGTTGGATTGTCATTGGAAAATTGCTCCAGTTGTCCTCTGCTGTTTTCTGGGAATCATCTTGGCAACCTCAAACCATTTGCAGCCAGCTTGGGGGGAGCAGCAGGGCAAGTTTAGAGAAGATATTTAGAGAGGAACACAGCATTTGGTTGTGCAAGGACGGAACAGTGACAAACCAGTCTGCCTGTTTGCAGTCCTGTGCAGGTCACCTGTTCCCAGGCATTCCCGCTGCACATGAGTGGAACAGCAATGAGAGCCAGTCAGGTGGACTTTGAAAATGCAATGAATCAGGTGAAGCTTTTAAAGAAGATCCAGGAAATGAAGTGAAGCTAAAACTCTATGCACTCTATAAGCAGGTAAGTGTCTGAGGCCTAATAGAATTTAAAGACCTTTTGAGCAGATGGCTTCTCAAATAGTTATGCTGGGTGCTTAAAATCCGACTTGAATATTTTTAGGTTTGTGTTGCTGCCTTTCCTCTGAAGTGTCTCCAGGAGCATTTCGGTACATTAGACTTTGAAATACACTTGTCTCCCCTTTCTCAAAAGCGCCTTCTGCCACGTCTTCAGGAGCTGTGTGACACAGCTGTGTATTTATCATGTCAGTGCTACTTCACCTATGTGTGTTATTGTGGGCTTTGTGTGTTACTTGGTATGACAGGTAGGAATAGTCTGTTCATGCCCAGAAATGTTTCTGTATAAATGAAAGGTAATTATCTTTTTGCTTTATACCATTTTGGCTTATGAAAGTTTTCAGAGGAACACCACTTTTGGATAAAAGGGGAAACCTGTACTGCTAAGACAAAAAAGTAATCCCCCAGGATCACTCCAGAGTAAAAGATTTAAAAGATATCCCAACCAAATATGTAGAACTTGCTGAGTGCTGATTAGAATAAATGGAGACTTTTTCAGACAATTGGGGAAATTTGGACATGGAATATTGGATGATCCCAAGGAGGAGTTAGTGCTGACAGTGTCATGTTTTCATAAGAAAATGTTGATTTTTCTTAGCAACAATGCGTACTAAATATGCTGAGGCAAACTAGAATGGTGTTTGGGAATCACTAAGATAATTGAACAAAAAAAGAAGAGGATGGGTGAAGCAACAATGGCCAAAAAAAAAAAGTTGTTAATCATGGCTGATGAGTACGGAAAATCCTTTATATTAGTCTGCTTTTGCTATGTCTGAAAATTTTTTGTAACAAAAATTTTAAAACTTAAATTTTAAACTTCCAACGTCCATAAATTTCCCTTGTGAGGTCAGTTCTTCTGGGCTCCTGTGTGCTTTCTCTCTATTCCTGTGATTGGTATGAGTCTCTTACTTTCGTGTGGGTGTGGAGAGAGTTAAGAATTTAACTTTGCCCATAAAAAAGGCCTGACCTTTGCTCTGATCTCTAGGCCTGTGAACTACCAAGCGCCATAGAAGTGTTATTGTTTACCCAAGTAGTCTGGTGGTGTGATTTAGAGTGGGACTGGCCCTGCAGAGTCACAGGGTGACCTGGGGTGGGGCCTCTCGCTTCCACAATCAGTCATACCTGCAGGATGGAGCCCCTGATGAACACCGCGGCTTGAGTGAGCTCCCCTGGTGGACCCATCCTGTGTGTGTGTTCAGTCAGTTCTGAGGATATGGGTTGTCCTGACTGATGGAGGGGATAGTAGGGGGTACTTCCCCAGACTCCCCAGCATGTGTCTCCTCCTCACTGATGTTAAGTTGTATCCTTTTCCCAATAAACCTTAACTACTATGAGTGTAATAGTGCCCAGGGTGCCCTGCAAGTCATTCTAGCAGATTATTGAACCTGAGGATGGGCTCAGGAGTCCCTACCTTTGCACCTGGCATCAGAAGTAGGGGAAATCTTGGGCCTCCCCTGATGGCGCAAGCAGTTAAGCACCGCACTGTGAAGCTGTCCGCAGCCTCTGCAGCGCAGGTTCAATCCCCGGCCAGCCAGGGAGAACCCACATGGTGCAGCAGACCTTTCCTGCCTCGCCCACTGATCCCCTCAGCAGTGTGTTTCATCATTCTGCCTGTTCTGTTCCCTGCTCTGTCTCTGGTGAATCCTCTCACCCTCCCGCATATCTGGCCTGTACCCTGGTACTTGTATAAAAAAAAAATCTTAAAAAAATTTTTTTTGAATAGGGTTATTAAAAGTGGAGGGTTTTTTTTTATTTTTTTTAATTTTTTTTTTTTTAAGATTTATTTATCTATGCATACAAGAGCTAGGGCACAGGTCAAAGGTGTGTGGGGGGAGGTGAGAGGATTCACCAGAGACAGAGTGGGAAACAGAACAGGCAGATTGACCAAAATACACCGCTGAGGGGAGGAGGGGTGAGTCAGGAGAGGTCTGCTGTGCCATGTGGGTTGCTCCCCGGCTGGCCAGTAATCGAACTCATGCTGCAGTGACTGCGGATTGCTTCATAGATTGCATCTTAACCCTTGCGCCACCAGGGAGGCTCTAAGTGGAGTTTTAAATTGCCATTTCTGAAAAGCAGCCGAGTAGGATATTTTATTCATCTCAAAACACTCAGTCTACCCGAAACAAACAAAATTTAGGTGCTTTTTGCTTTCTGCTTGCATGTTCTTCAGTTATATTTTTGAAGGGCCAGTGGCTCTGACCCTCCCTACGACTGCTTCCCAGCAACAGTTTTGTTACTCCATTACTGAAAATTCCCCACTGAATGAGTGGGGCTGTTTTAAACCTTTGACTGGGCTTTCAGCATTTATTGTGAGTTTCCAAATGTTTCTTGAATATTTCAGTTGTGTATTAAATATGTGATCACCCATAGAAAACTTCTGAACTAAGTACTTCTGAAAGTACTTGTTACCTTGCTCCTATTTGACTTGCTGTTCTCCTAAAATGAGTCAGGTGCTTCTCCTTGTCAAGCCATATAAATGGAGAGCTCCGGGATTTTGACTTTCCCCAAAACACTTCTCTTGCTTCATTTTCACATTCAGGCAGTGAAAAATATAGGGACTGATAGCACCATTTTGTCTCCAGGCTTTTTTCCAGTTGTTTGTGCATGTTTTGGCAGTAACCTCAGAGAGGAAAGTTCACATCAATTTTTGTACCTTGTCCAAGTATTTGGTGAAGGGCAGACATGGTCATCTAGTTGTGCATTTATTTATGGTTCCTTTTTGCATGAGTATCTGACCACAGCCGCCCCTCTCCTTTCCACAGGCCACGGAAGGCCCTTGTAATGCGCCCAAGCCTGGTGTGTTCGACTTTGTCAATAAGGCCAAATGGGATGCATGGAATGGCCTTGGCAGCCTGCCCAAGGTAAGTCTACTTGTTACCTTGCTCCTATTTGACTTGCTGTTCTCCTAAAATGAGTTAGGTGCTTCTCCTTGTCAAGCCGTTATAGACGGAGAGGTCCGGGATCTTGACATACCTCTATTGAACCAGAACGGCCATTCTTTCTTCATTGCAAGATGCTATGTATCAGCCTCGTAAGTTTCTCAAATACCTATTTGCTGACCATGGGCTGAAACTAGTTGTCATCTTCTCTTTAGGAAACTGCCAGGCAGAACTATGTGGATTTGGTGTCCAGTTTGAGCTCATCTGAGTCCTCTAGCCAGGTAAAACCTGGCGCGGAGAGTAAGCAAGGGGCATATGAATTCCTGGTGGTAACCTCTGAGGACGGCATCACGAAGATAATGTTGAACCGGCCGGCCAAGAAGAACGCTATCAGCACCAAGGTGACTCTTCTTGTACGGGGAGTTTGTCTTCTTTCCTTGTCCTCCTCTGTCCCTCTCAAAAACTGGCGTTTTAGCATTATTCCTGTTTTTGTGCCATCTCTGATTTGATCTGTGCGGGAAGATAAGTAATTGCAGCTCCTTCTTACAACAGATTTGGGCTTTCATTGTTTAGAAGATGTGAGCCAGAGGGGCTGTGGCTTTCCTGATGAGGGAAGCACAAATAAATGAATGTAAATGAGGCATACATAAGAACACATTTAGATAGAGGTGCATTCCCAGCCTCCCACCTCCGAGCATGCCTGGGCCCTGGTCCCCAAAGTATCTTCACATGGTTTATACTTGAGAATGACTGTTCTCCTTGCATGGAGCTTTATTTTGTATAAGTAGAAGTAGAAAGAAGTGCATCTTAAAGAGATCAGAGATTAAACAGAGCAGAGCTGTTTCACAAGGACAACTGTAGACTTTGGCTCTGTCATTGAACGAGAACAATAATAAAAAATAACCACTTCAGCTCTTACCCCCTGCAAAAAAATTATAGGGAATTAAGTGGATGCTTGGTGCTGAACTGGGAGCAAAATTTGAGAGAAACCCTCTTCCATTGGATCTGTTATTTACATTATAGCAGAAAGTGCATCTAACTTACAATAGCCTTAAGGCAGTTGGACACGTGCCACTTAATAAATAAAGCAGTTGATACTCAAAATTTTATTTTCATTTTCCCACATGAAATCTCAGTAAGGTAGAAATCGCACCAGTTTTACATGCACAGGAGTTATAGTGGCCACACAACCAAGATTTTCAGAGATGTTGCTGATTTAAAATACTGCCCTTGGATACCATCACCGTGTCCTGGAAATTCCCGCCTTTTAGCTCAGGTCATGAATACCTCCCAGCCTGCCTGGGCACCTAGGCTCTCTCTTAAGGTCCAAACTGAACCATTGTTTCATGGGACACTGTCACTGATCACCTCTCATTCACTTTCCTTGGATAAGTCTCAGCGCCTCCTCTGAGCTTCCTGCTACTTTGTACTTGCCACTTATTTTAGAGCTTCCCCTCTATGAATGCCAAGAGCTCAGTGCCTCTTTGGTTTACTCTTGGGTAAAAGTGGGTATGTCCCCCCATCAGAACACGTAGTAGGGACACAGCACACTCCAACTAATTGAAAAAGAATGAAAATCTGCTCGGGTGGCATAGCAACCCTTCTGGTGGTGTCAACACAAACAGCCCAGATGTTTGGCACTTAGCAGAGAATGGCCTCCCAGGCTGTCACGCAGTGGGTCTGCCAGGTGGTGGTGGCCACATTCAGAGCCTGTCCTGTTCCTCTCTTCCTCCCGCAGATGTATCAGGAAATTATGCTTGCACTTCAGGCCGCTGGCAAGGATGACTCAGCCTTAACCGTGTTAACAGGTAAGACATTTTCTTGGACCATTTAATGAAATATCTGTCTTGGGGGGCTCCCTGCTTGATAGGAAGTTGAGTAAAAAGCTCTAAATCTTTGCCAGGACTGAAGTACTCTTTATTCTTAAATATGTAGCAAATATGATAGACACAGGATTGACACCTTTATCATGTGAAAAGCAGATACAAATTGGTGAGAAAAGTACTAAATCAGTGGTACATATCTGAAAGGTATTTAATATTATATGATGTTGCTTAAAAAAACAAGTATAGGACTTCCCTTGTGGTGCAAGGGGTTAAGACACAGCACTACGAAGCTATCCACAGCCACTTCAGCACTGAGTTGGATTCCCAGCCAGGGAGCTACCCACATGGTGCAGCAGACCTCTCCTGTTTCCCCCGCTGCTCCCCTCAGCAGTGTATTTCAGTAGATCTACCTGTTCTACTCCCTACTCTTGTCTCTGGTGAATCCTTTCACCCCTGACACCTCTGGCCTGTACCCCAGTTCTTGTATGCATAAATAAATAAATCTTTTTTAAAAAATGGAGAACTAGGTGCCTAGGTGCAGAGGGTGATGTGATCACGCAGATCTGAAGAGCAGTCAAGCTGTCCCCCTAAATAAAATACAGTACTGTAAACCCAAAAAAAGTTTCTAAGATCTGTTAGATACAGTGGTGAATAAAAATGAATTGACAATTTACATGAGAAAGTCCAAGTAGAAGACAATTTAAAAAAAAATGCATTTCATTAATAATCACAGATACATTGATGAGATTCTATTAGAATGATGAGATTCTATTTTGTCCTCTAAACTTGCAAAGTTTTTAATTATAACCAGTTTTGACAAGGTTAACGTAGAAGTGTCTCATATCTTGCTGATAGCAGTATAAACAGCTATAAGAAGTATAACTAGGGCCTCCCTGGTGGCGCAAGGGGTTAAGCACAGCACTATGAAGTTATCGGGAAGCCTCTGCAGCACAAGTTCGATCCCCAGCCAGCCAGGGAGCAAGCCATATCGCACAGAAGACACTTCTGACTTGCCCACTGCTCTCCTCAGCAGTGATTTTCAGCCAGTCTGCCTATTCTGCTCTCCACTTTATCTCTGGTGAATCCTCTCACCTCCCCGCACCTATGGCCTGTACCCCAGTTCTTGTATGCATAAATAAATAAATCTTTAAAAATAAAGAAGTGTAACTAGGTAAGGAATAGGGCATTTTGCAGTATATAAAATGTTCATATCTTTTGGTACAGGAATCCTACTTCTGGGAATTTTTTTAGGAAGATTATCTAAGAAAAGGGGAGTTGTTAGGCAGGTTTTTGCAGCATTACATATAGTTGTGAAGACATTCTAACATTGCCATGATAGAATAATAAAACAAATCATAGACTATCCACTTTATTATATAGTGCACAAGTATTAAAAATTGTAATTGTAAAAACCAACAATATTGAAAATGTTTAATATATATTTTTTAACTCTAAAAATTTTATTAGTATTATGGTTATAACTGGAAAATATTGTGGATAGCTATGGACCTAGGTTGATGAGAACATGAAAAATGAAAGTCATTGGATTTGGAAGGGATGCCGTATGTGGTGGTTAAGGCTAAGGCTTAGGACTCAGATCAACTTGAGTTAAAATCCTGACTTCATTTCTTATTAACCGTGAGCAACCTCTGCTTCCCATATGGACAAGACAGTGCTTACTAATCCCATTGAATGGTTGGGAGGACGACATGATGTAGTGCAGGTGAGAGGCAAGGCGGGTACTTGATGGATGTCAGCTTTTACTCTTGGCATTTCCCAATTTTCTCCTTGTAATCAGTTTCTAGTTTCATACCATCGTGGTCAAAAAAGATACTTGCTATGACTTCAGTCTTCTTTAATTTATTAAGACTTGTTTTGTGACCTAAGGTATGACCCATCCTGGAGAATGTGCTATGCATACTTGAGAAGATTGTATATTCTATTGCTTTCAGATGGAATGTTCTGGATATAGAACATTAAGTCTACCTGGTCTAATGTATTGCTTAAGGCCAATGTTTTCATATTGATTTGCTGTCTAGATGTTCTACCCATTGACCACGACGGTATATTCAAGTCCCTCACTGTTATTTCTCCTTTTAGGTCTATTAATGCATACTTTATATACTTAGACGCTCCTATGTTGAATGAATATTTACAAATGTTTGTCTCTTGTGGATTGACCCCTTTACCATCCAGTACCCTACTTTGTCTCTTATTACAGACTTTGTTTTAAAGTCTATTTTTTCTGAAATAACTAGAGCTATCCCAGTTTGGGTTTTTTGGTTTTTTTTGTTTTTTTTTTTGTTTTTGCGGGGGGCGGGGGGCTTTCATTTACATGGAATATCTTTTTTCAATCCTTCACTTTCACTCTTTACATCTGAAGCAAATATGTTATAGGCAGCATAAAGGATGATCTTGGTTTTTATCCACTGAGTCTCTCTCTCTGTCTTTTGATTGGATAATTTAGTCCATTCACATTCAGAGTAATTATCTATAGTGTGTACTTATGGCCATTTTATTACTTGTTTTCTGGCTGTTTTTTAAACTCCATACTAACTTTATAAATGATTAATCCACTTTACTGTATTTTTACAGTGAGATTTATTCTTTCTTGTTGCTAATTAGCACCTTTTCTATTCAGTTTAAAGAAGTCCCTTTATCATTTCTTCTTAGGCTGGTTTAGCGATGATGAACTTCTTTAACTTTTGCTTCTCTGGAAAAGTCTATCCTTCAATTCCAAAGCTTACTTTCTCACAACAACCCTTTGAGGTATTTACAATGATCAAAACCCATTAAACTAAGTTTAAAAACTGGCCAGCTTATTGTATGTAAATAAATACTTTAAAGCAACACACCTTCAGTGGCTCTTACAATGAAACTAACAGCTCAACAAAATCCCACCATCTGTCCTGCCCGTGCTCAGTCTACAGCTTGTCCCGCTGACTTTTTCTGCTTGGATGCAGTGACACTTCTTTCAGCCCATCACAGACACCAGCACCTGTGTGCATGCTCTTCCCTCTGCGAGAACCTTCTTCCCAGCCCTCTTTTTCTAGCTCACCTTACCTGCCCTGCAGATCTCATTTCAGTTGTACCCTCCTTGGGAAGAAGCTCTGATTAAAACCCCTTTCATTCTCATATTATCACAGACCTGTCTTGGATCATTGTTGCATTTATTTGTGTGTATTTAGATCAATGTCAAGCATATTTGTCAGCCTGTAAATGAGGGCAGGAACTATACATTTTTCCAGTGCTTGCCATAGAGCCTGGCACATAGCAAATATTCGGTAATCATAGAGTGAATACACATTCACCTGTTCCATTAATATTATTTACAGGAAATGGTGATTATTACTGTAGTGGAAATGATCTGAGTAATTTCACCGACATTCCCCCTGGTGGAGTAGAACAGAAAGCTAAAGATAGTGCCATTTTACTGAGGTAAGTGGGACATTGTTCTGATACCAGAGGGCTCTTCCCTAGTCATCAAAGTGGTGTTGAGTTGAGCAAAAGTGAAATAAAAAGGTCTATGGGGCCTCCCTGGTGGCTCAAGGGGTTAAGTCTCAGCACTTTGAAGCTATCCGTAGTACAAGTTCTATCCCCAGCCAGGGAGGTGACCCACCCATGGAGCAGCAGACCTCTCCTGTCTCCCCACTGCTCCCCTCAGCAGTGTATTTCAGTGGATCTGCCTGTTCTGATCCCCACTCTGTCTCTGGTGAATCCTCTCACCCCCGCAACTCTAGCCTGTACCCCAGCTCTTCTGTGCATAAATAAAATAAATCTTTTAAATAAATAAAATACTCCTATGACAGTGTAATAGGTGTGAATTTGGACAGTGTTTTTCTCCAAACTGCATCAGTAGGTGGACACTCACTGTATTACTTTAATTTCTTTTACCTGCTCCTCTGCGTGACATGTAAATGGAAGGCTAAGAGGAGACTGTAGGGTAAGAAAATCCTCTCCTGTTGAGGCGGAGGAGGTCAGCAAAGTCTCCTCCAGCAGAGGAATGCTTGGCTTCCTCAGTGGCTGGTGATAGGAGACTTGAAGCTATCTCATAAACATGGAGACTGAAGGTCCCACTTCTTTTCGTTTATCTGCTGGGTCTCTAATTCCCACTGAGCTGTGACACGCAGCATCTTAATCCCTCAGTGTCACTGGACTGTTCAGAACAGAGCCAGATCTGAACAGAGTCAAACTACAGGACTCCCTGTGGCTCCTCCCAAGTGCCATAGAGAGCTGACTCTCATCTGTTATGGGATTACCTTTGGAATAGGAAATGAATCATTAACACTTATATTTAAGGGGGCAGGTGGAGCAGCCAGAGGGTGGGAGGGTGTGCAGACACCCTAGCCAAGACCAGAGTGCATTATTTCTACTTGCCTGCTCAGCCATGTGTGCTTTTTTATTTCCATTTCTGCAGGGACTTTGTAAGCTGCTTTATAGATTTTCCTAAGCCTCTGATTGCCGTGGTCAATGGGCCAGCAGTGGGAATCTCCGTCACTCTTCTTGGGTTATTTGATATTGTGTATGCATCTGACAGGGTAAGTCAGCCCCCCCAAAATTATCAAGTTGTGCAAGTGAAAGTGAGATCTTTTGAGTTCTCCTTTGCAATTCTTTGTTTCCTTTACTACTGTAAATGGATTACCTATGGCTTATGTTACAATGGGTAAATTTAAATTTTTCCCAAAGAATTTGTCTAACTAATTTGACTCATTTTATATTTTCTTCATTATTAGCTTGATTTTCCTAAACACCAGTATGGTTCAAACTTTGTCCTAAGTCTTTTGGGTCTATAGTCTCAGCAGATGATACACCATTTATTCAGTTTTCACATTAAAATAGTCAGGAGACCTTGAAATCTTGTTATCAGGAGGAAAAATAGCATCTTTGCTGGTGCAGTTGATTGTTTGATACTTTTTATCAAGTAAATGAATTCTAGCTTTGAAAATTTTAGAATGAAGTTAGCTACTCTCACTCCTTCCTTTGCAGATAAGAAAACTGAAGTTCAGGGAGGTTATTTGCACAACTCAGTTCACCCTGGTGTTCACCACTGAGAGAGATAGAGTGTAGTTATTATTCTTTTTTTTTTTTTTAAGATTTATTTTTATGTATTTATGCAAGCACTGGGTATAGTCAGAAGCACGGGAGGGTGAGAGAATTCACCAGAGCCAGAGCGGGGAGCAGAGCAGGCAGAAGGACCGAAGTACACTGCTGAGGGGAGCAGCGGGCGGCAGGAGAGGTCTGCGTGCCATGTGGGACCCTCCTCCCGTGGCCGGGGAGCAGCCGGGGATCGAACTGGCGCTGCAGAGGCTGCGGGCAGCTTCACAACCCAGCGCTCAACCGCTGTGCCACCGGGGAGGCCCTGTAGTTATTATTCTTAATGGAGTAGTAACAGATGTCATAGTAGAAAATAAAATCTTGAGAAATAAGGAAAAGTTAAAAATCACTCCTTAGATCACCACTCAGAGAAGACCAGGGCTTACCACTGGGTTAACTGTCTTACCACTTAGAGATAACAAGCTAACCACTAGTGATTTAACTTTTCTAATTTAACCAACCCCTGGCTAGTCAGACCCTAAGGCAATTTCTAATCTTTGTCTTTAAAAGCAAAGATGTGCTGACCATTTGTCTTAAACCCTTTATGCCCTGGAACTTTTACTGTAGAGCTAATAGCCACCTCTAGGGTTAGCAGATTTTCCAGTAGTGGTAAAGTTTGATGATCTACAAGTTTGTGACAAACACTTGCTTTTTACAACTGAAGAGAATCCTGATTTTGTTCAGAGGTATTTCCCTACTGATAGGATCATATTGGAGGGTTCTTGACTTGCTGGTTCATCTTGTACTGGATTTCATTTCACCAGGTTGAGCATGTTGGTAGATCTAATTCTTTTTTTTTTTTTTTTTTTTTTTTTTTTAAATATTAAATTTTATTTTTATATTCCCCCATACAATTGCAAACGCCCCATTCTGACCCCAATCCTTCCCCTCCCGCCCCCACCCCCCAAAAAGTGTCTCTGGTTCATAGTTTTTTGTTGATTTTGATTTTCACTTTCTTATATTCATTTTCCTGGTCCCTTATTTAAGTTTTCTAGATTCCTGCTATGAGTGAGACCATCCGGTATTTTTCTTTTTCTTTTTGGCTTATTTCGCTGAGCATGATCCCTTCCAGTGCCATCCATGTTGCTGCAAATTGCATGTGTTTATCTTTTTTGAATGCTGAGTAATATTCCATGGTATATATGTACCACATCTTCTTGATCCAGTCATCTATTTTTGGGCATTTGGGTTGTTTCCAAAGCTTAGCTATTGTAAACAGTGCTGCTATAAACATAGGAGTGCAGGTGCTCTTTGGAATTGATGTTTCTGTGTCCTTTGGGTAAATACCTAGGAGTGGAATTGCTGGAGTGCAAACTGGTCCAACCACTATGGAGAGCTGTGTGGAGATTTCTGGACCTACTAAACATAGGGCTTCCATATGATCCAGCAATTCCACTCCTAGGTATTTTAACAGTGTTTTATAGTTTTCTTTGTATAGGTCCTTTACCTCTTTTGTTAGATTTATTCCCAAATATTTGATTTTTTTTGTTTCGATAATAAAAGGGGTGGTTTTTTTGATTTCTTCTTCTTCAGATTTATTGTTTGTGTATAGGAAGGCTACTGACTTTTGCGTGTTGATTTTGTATCCTGCCACTTTACTGAATTGATTGATGAGTTGAATTAGTTTTTCTGTGGAGATTTTGGGGTTCTCTATGTATATTATCATATCATCTGCAAATAGTGATAGTTTGACTTCTTCTTTTCCTATTTGGATTCCTTGGATGTCTTTCTCTTGTCTTATTGCTCTGGCTAGGACTTCCAGTATTATATTGAAAAGCAGTGGTGAGAGTGGACATCCTTGTCTTGTTCCAGATCTTAATGGAATTGCTTTCAGCTTTTCACCATTGAGAATGATACTGGCTGTTGGCTTGTCATAGATGGCCTTTATGATGTTGAGGTATGTTCCTTGTATCCCAAGAATTTCAAGGGCTTTTATCATGAATGGGTGTTGCACTTTGTCGAAAGCTTTCTCAGCATCTATTGATATTATCATATGGTTTTTATATTTCTTTTTGTTGATGTGTTGGATAACGTTGATTGATTTTCGGATGTTAAACCATCCTTGTGCCCCTGGAATGAATCCAACTTGGTCGTGGTGAATTATCTTATGGATACATTGTTGGATTCTGATAGCTAAAATTTTATTGAGGATTTTTGCATCAGTGTTCATTAGGGAGATTGGCCTATAGTTTTCCTTTTTTGTGTTGTCCTTATTCGGTTTTGGTATTAGTGTAATATTGGCTTCATAGAACGTGTTTGGTATTGTCCCTTCCTTCTCAATTTTTTGGAAGAGTTTGTGAAGGATAGGCACTAATTCGTCTCTGAATGTTTGGTAGAATTCATTTGTAAATCCATCAGGTCCTGGGCTTTTGTTTTTGGGGAGGTTTTTAATTACCATTTCAATTTCGCTGCTTGTAATTGGTCTGTTTAGGTGTTCTATTTCTTCTTTATCTAGCTTTGGGTGATTGTAGAGTTGTAGGAATTTGTCCATCTCCTCTAGATTGTTGAACTTGTTTCCATATAACTGTTCATAGTAGTTACTGATTATTCTTTTGATTTCTGCTGTGTCCGTTGTGATTTCTCCTCTTTCATTTATGATTCTGTGTATTTGTGCTTTCTCCCTTTTTTCCTTTGTGAGCCTGGCTAGGGGTTTGTCTATTTTATTTATTTTTTCAAAGAACCATCTCTTGGTTTCATTGATCTTTTGGATTGTTTTTTTAGTTTCAATTTCATTTATTTCTGCTTTGGTTTTTATTATTTCTTTTCTTCTACTGGTTCTGGGGTTTTTTTGTTGTTCTTTTTCTAGATCTTTGAGCTTCGAGATTAGGTTGTTTCTTTGAGTTCTTTCTTGTTTTTTGATGTGAGCTTCTATTGCTATATATTTTCCTCTTATTACTGCTTTTGCTGCATCCCATACATTTAGGATATTGGTGTCCTCCTTGTCATTCAATTCAAAGAATTTTTTAATTTCTTCTTTGATCTCCTCGTTAGTCCAGTGGTCTTCCAGTAGTGTGGCTTTTAATCTCCATGAGGTAGGATAGTCCCTTGCCTTCTTTTTATGATTTATTTCTAGTTTGATGCCTTCGTGGTCAGAAAAGATGGTTGGTATGATTTCAATCTTGGTGTATCTGTTGATGTTTGTCTTGTGCCCCAGTATGTGATCGATCCTGGAGAATGATCCGTGTGCGCTTGAGAAAAATGTGTACTCCGTTTTTTTTGGGTTTAGTGTTCTATAGATGTCTGTTAAGCCCAAATGCTCTAGGTCCTTATTTAGAGCTTTAGTTTCTTTACTTATTTTTTGTCTTGTTGATCTATCCATTGTTGATGGTGGTGTGTTGAAGTCTCCCACTACATATGTGTTTTCTCTGATGTCTGTTTTCAGAGAGGACAACAGTTGTCTGATATATTTTGGTGCTCTTTCGTTTGGTGAGTATATGTTAATGAGTGTTATTTCTTCTTGAAGTATTGTCCCCTTAATCATAACGTAGTGACCATTGGGGTCTCTTTTTATTTTTTTGAGTTTGAAGTCTGTTTTATCTGATATAAGTATAGCTGTTCCTGCTTTCTTTTTTGGCCCATTTGCTTGTAGGATTGTTTTCCATCCTTTGACTTTGAGCCTATTTTTATCTTTTGTAGCTAAATGTGTTTCCTGGAGACAGCAAAAGGTTGGGTTTTGTTTCTTAATCCAGGCTGCAACTCTGTGTCTTTTTATTGAAGAGTTTAGTCCATTTACATTTAGAGTTAATATTGATATGTTAGCATCTGTATTTGCCATTATGTTTGTCTTTCCTTTGATTTTATTTATTTATTCTTTTAATAACTTTTTTTTTTTTTTTTGGTCTTCTTTCGTTGTTATTCGTCCCTCTGAGGTTCTGGCTTTAGGATTCCTTGTAGTATTTTTTGGAGTGGGGGTTTAGTCGCAATGAAATTCCGGAGTTTCTCTTTGTCTGGGAAGGTCCATATTCTTTCTTCATGGAGGAAAGAGAGCTTTGCGGGATAGAGTATTCTTGGTTGGCATCTGTTTTCTTGGAGTCTGTTGACTATGTCCCTCCACTCTCTCCTTGCCCGTAGTGTTTCTTCAGAGAAGTCTGATGTCAGCCTGATTGGTTTTCCTTTGAATGTTATCTGTTTCTTCCCTCTTGTCAGCTTCATTATTTTTTCCTTGTCCTGGATTCTTGGGAGCTTTACTATTATGTGTCTTGCTGTGTTTTTCCTTTCGTCGTGGAAGTTTGGTGTTCTTCTTGCTTCTTGTATATCAATTTTCAGCTCCTTCTTCTCATTTGGGAAGTTCTCTTCAATTATATCCATGAATATTTTCTCTGTTCCTACATCTCTCTCCTCTCCTTCTGGAATTCCTATAACTCTTATATTTCCTTTCCTCATGGAGTCAGATAGTTCTCGCAGTCTTTCTTCATTCTTTTTCCTTCGTACTTCTCTTTCCTTT